GCTCTGCGCACTACTCTCCTCTCTCCTAAGGGGCTGCTTCTCCTTTCTGCCATCAAACAAGTCTGAACGACAGCTCCTGGAGCAAACACCCCAATGGAAGCTGTCAGCTCCCTTCAGAACGAATCTTTGACTGAACATTCTAGAATCCCACCAATGGAGGCTGTTCCTAGTCCTTTTTGCATTAGCAGTTGTGCTGTGGTGCCATTTGGCCCTTACCATTGTCCTAGCCTGTTTGGGGGGTAGGGCCTGAGAGTAGCCAGACCTCTGAGACCCAGGGGCATAGCAGAACGTCCTGTCAAAGTGGGGATTGGTTCAGTATTCAACTGATTTTGTAATGGAAATAATTACTGAACAGTGCAGGATTTGCTTTAAAATTTGCTTTAAATTTTTCAGGTGAAAGAAGGATAATTCTTACATACAAACCACATATTAATTATAAGCAAAAACTTCAAAGAAAATAGTTCTACAGATAGGTTTATCAAAGAGTAATTCAGTGATTACGGTTTACTGGCTTTAAAAAAAAAGATGTTTTGCTTTTGCTATATCCCAAACTTCTAATCATGTTTTCCTTTCTTCTTGAAAAGCCTCCGTTCCTCCATCTTTACTCTCACCCCAGGCTATAAAGGCATGGAGGAACATACTCATTATTCTTTCAGAAAACATTTGTTGTGTAATTACGGTTTTCATGTTTAAAAGTACAGAAATGAACAAAACATGGACTGAGTCTGGGCCAGATTCAATGTCATGCTCAGCCTACCACATCATCCACAGGGGCTTAGAAACACCCTAAAAGAGGGCTTTTAGTAATTTGTGGTGATTCATAATTCTATAGACTTTCATTTTTATGTGCAACTAAGGGCAAAGTGTTACTAATCTCACTGATTCATTAAAAATTACTAAACTTTTTTTTTTTAAGATTTTATTTATTTATTTGAGAGAGAGAGAGAGCAGGAACACAAGCATGGGGAGTGGGAGAGGGAGAAGCAGGCTTCCTGCCGAGCAGGGAGCCCGATGTGGGACTCGATCCCAGGACGCTGGGATCATAAACTTTTATATTCGTAGTTAAATTAGTAAATTTCGTGCACTCCTGACATGACTTTTAACTACTCTGTCTTCTATTTGGACTTCTGGCTGCCATGAAGCTTTGCAAAACCACGAGTTTGCACGTACCTAAGCAGACATTGCTCTTTCCCCAATTTTCTAGAAAAATGCCCCATCAGTGTTTTTCCGGAAGGGACGCTGAACTTTCTGAAAGGGTATCAGTGATGTTCCTGAGTTGGTAGAGTCTATCAATTGCTGCTTTTCTAATTTTTTAATATGTCATTACTTTAGGGTCCCTTGATGGTATTTTGTGGTGAAGTGTTTTTTTTGTTGATACTACCCTCTGGAGGGATGCATCAACCATACTTGAGCTTCTCCTTTTCTAATAACTTGGCTTCAGAATGGATGTGGACTGCAGTTCAAATATGAATCCTTTATACCTCATTGCTGAAATGGATTCGGTGGAGTGGTATCCATGTGTTATTATTATTATTATCATTTTATCACTGGAAGGTGAGAATGGGTGGAGCAGGTAGGGAATAAGGTTGGTTATCACACTGAAATTTAGAAGTAATGATGAGTGGCCTTTCAAGAAATGAGTAGACAATTAGCATTTACTGTCTTCTTATATTCCAACTCCCTGCCAGGTTGTACACCTCTCTTTCTCAGTGAGGCTCCCCTTCATGGACCAGCCCACCAGGGACAGTGTCTGCAGGTTTAGGCAAAGGCAGCTGAGGTAGGACTGCAGAGCCCAGGGCCCTGGCTGGAGCTCTGTTTGCATATCCCCTCCACTGGCCACAATTCCTGGAGATTCTTTTTTTTCAGAACTGACTGACGGGTAAGTGAAACTCTCTGCCTGGGCTTCAAACACAAGGAGGCTTTTCAAGGGGATTTTTCAAACAGACATGACTCAGTGTTAGTGTTGATGAAATAAGGCACAGGAGCTGTCTGCCAAATGCTAAAAGCTAAAGGGAGTACTTAATTTGGAGTGTGCCCATTCAGGACAGATATAGTCAGGTGTGGCATGTGGACACTTGCGGATGCAAAGGAGGGTTGATAATATTTATGCATGGATACTTCCCTGGCCATAGTTTTCTTTTGTTTTAGGTTTTGTCGGTAATTTTATTCTTAATTTATTAGTAGTCTTATGATGTGCTACATTGACATCTCATAAAAATGGTTACCTTATTTTATCAAACTCTAAAACATCTTTAACTGTAAATCACACCACTCTTTCATATAAAACTAAAAAACAATAAAACTGTTGATTAATAACACTGCTTTTGCATACCCTAGTGCTTTTATTTTATATTTATTGAAACAACTTCCTTGGCTTCATTGATACATAATGATACATAATATGAAAATATTATCTATTTTTTGTAAAGAGATACGCTTTTTTTTTTTTAGTAAACTCTGTTAGAATAGCTTTAAATTTACAGAAAAGTTGCTCATATTGTATAGACAATTTCTATATACTTTACATTCAACTTCTATTCTTAACATATTATGTTAATATTGTACATTTGTCACAAGTAATGAACCAATATTGATATGTTATTAACTGAAGTTAAACTGTACTTTATTTGATTTCCTTAGTTTTTACTTAAGATCCTTTTTCTCATCCTGGATTCCATGCAGGATACCACATTATATTTTATCATGTCTCCTTTGGCTCTGGTGGACAGTGTCCGTTTTCTCAACTTTCCTTATTTTTGGTGAAAGGTACTGGTTAGATATTTTGTAGAATGTCCTTCAATTCAGTTTTATCTGATGTTTTTCTCATGGTTAGACTGGGGCTGGGAACTTGAGCAAGGAAAATATTACTTAAAAAAAATTTAAAAGTAGAATAAACAACCAAAAAAAAAAAAAGTTCAGCAACTGCTAAATATTCTTCACCTTGAGAGTCTGAACCTTCTCTTCCACCTTTGACTCTGATTCTCAATAGCCTTGTTTTCCCACACTACACCACTTACTGGGCCAGCAAGAATGCTAGTGACGCAGCAGCTTTGAAACCCTTCTCTACTGGGTTTTCTTCCAAGATCACTGACCCTCTTCAGCCAATTTTGAAACTGTCATTTTCTTGACCTTCCCAAGAAAGGTCTCTGGTAATGACAGCAAAGTCACAACTGCCCCTGAACGATGTAAGATACCAATGATCGTAGGATGCATTTGAGAAATCTTAAAAGCTGGGTAATGATATGTCTTAGAGCCATTGAAATAGGGTACTCTGAATTTTTAATATATCATTTCTCCTAAAACAGTTTTATTTTCAATATTGTTTGATTATCATTTGGGATTCAGATAAGACTATATTGCTTTTATGTCTCCAAATCAAATTAAAACTAGTAAACTCTCACCTGCTACGTTAGAAGGAAATCAGATTTCTTCTCTTAAGGACTCTCTTTTCTCCCCAGTCTTGCAAACCCCGAAGAGCTGGTGGAGTTCATTTGGAAGCCCATCCAACTTCTGCACATAGTGGAAGAGCCCGGGGCTCCATTCCATTCACAGCCCTTCCCCCTGCCTGCCCCAAGACCCTGGTTTTCTGTTCCTCCGCCCTCTGATCAGGTGCCTACTGGCCAAAATCCCAGCGAGGACAGCACAGCTGCTCAGAGGAAGCCCCTTGTGTGAACAGGGCTCTAGCTCAATGCCCAATGTTCTCCTTGCTGGGTTTCTAGGGCCCACGTTGTGCACCCCAGAAGCCTTTCTACAGCTCCAGTTACCTCCAGGGAGCAAGAGATTTCAGCCTCTTCCATGGGGGGACCCAGAGGCAGCCATCTCTCCCCCTCTCTGGGGGTGAACCAAAGATTAAGCATCACTGTTCTTTTCAGATGTCCAAATAACAGGAGGGATAATTCTACCTATTCGACCTTTTTTTTTTTTTTTTTTTTAACCACAGAAATCTAGTTACTGACAAAGGATGCTTATGGATTGCCTTTAACAGACTCAGAGTCACCTCTACATTCATTTTCATCTTGAATCCCTTCTCTGAACCTTGAAGGATGTCTGAGACGATGTTCATTTTCCCTGACCCAGACCCTTAGAGCCCTGTCATGTTAACCCTTCAGTGCCTGGCCCTTCTCCTGCCAGAGTAAAACCTGCACATTGCTCTGTATGTATTTAGTAGAGGATATATGCTTTGCTTTATGTCACTGAACTAGAATGAGACATGAGCAGGGGCACTGTGTTAACATGAATTCGCTCACAGTGACTTGCAAATGGCTGCTTTTGTGATCCTCCCCGAGAACAAGTAAAAATAGGCTTGCAGAGGACAGCCATACTCAGTAAAGCAAGGAGGTACCTCAAAAAGGGAAATGGACATAGAAACTTAAATCTGGGTCTTTGTGAGCAAGTTTGTTCTAACTTGCAATTCTGGTAAGCTGGTCTTGTGTGTAAATATTCCAGTAATGCTTCAAACCCACCACCTCATTTTAGTCCCCAAAAGAACACCTGCTATAGTTGGTTATATTACTCTTGTTTGTTTTCCTAATCTGTGGTCTCAGATACTCAACAGAAAAGCTGAAGCAGGTTACAAAATAGAATCCTAGGGTAACATTTTTAAAAATAAATTAATAAAAGGGAAAGAAAAATGAGGGTTGAATGTTCTTACAAGCCAGGAAGAGCTACTCAACAGGAATGTATGTGTAGGGTGCTATACGTTACAGAAAGTTGGGTAAGATGTCTTAAGATCTATTTTATCACATTAAGGAAAGACTCCATTGACTCCTTATTTATCACTTGAGAATTAGTGTTGAATTTAGCCAAATGACTTTTAGTACCCATTGAAATAGGCTTATTTTTTTTCTTTTTATGATACATTTCTGGAATAAACTACACTTGGCCATAATATATTATTGTATTATGTGCTGGCAGATTCTGCATACCAATAAATTTTCTAGGATTTTTTGCATTGATGTGAGTATTGTGAAGGAAAATGTATTCAGTGGCATTTGTTAAAGATGGTTGGGAAGACTTTATTTAAGGGTGGGGACTATTGCAATAGGCGTAGGGACCACTACAGTGGGATCTTGCAGTGTGGGAGAGAGATTGAACTGCACTCTGAATACAACAAGGAAAAGTGGGAATTTATAGCCAAGGAGGTGGGAATGCATGGATGGAAAATGACTAAGAAGAAACATGAGGGTAAGGGGTGGGGGAATCTGGCTAAACTAACCAGACAGGATTCTTGCTAAAGGCAGTCCAGGGTGATCAGGGGATGGTGGAAGATGAGCATTCTCACTTGTGATCAGGTAGGCGATCAGGCATGGAGGATAGGGGATTCTGGTTAAAACATTTTAGCAAAAACACTTGATAAAACTGGATGACAGAGAGATGAACACAAAAAAAGCCCAAAGTCAGGGCCTTGTTGAAAAAGAGCTCATAAGAGCCTACTTAGAGTCTGGTCAGGACAGATGATCTTTGTATGGTGTGTAATTTTATTTTTGTGAAATTTTTGCATTTTGGAGCCTGTGGTGATTGCTTTTAAAAAAAAGCTTTAAACATTTTTCTTTCCTTTTTATAAGTCCTCAGGGCGTCTTAAGACCCAAATTTCTGCTTTCAAGAAATCCTCATCTTTATTGTTACCCTAACAACTACCATAAATTAGCCTTTCTGTGTGCTAGGCACTGTTACAGGTTAATCATCACTAAGACCCCTGTGCAGCTAGGTACTGTGATTTTTTCCCCCCATTTTGTAGGTGAGAAAACAGATGCGCATACATGAAGCCCTCACCTTATAGGAGCAACTAGCAAGCAGGATTTGATTCCAGGATCTAAAGTTCATGCTTTTATGTCTAGAAACTTAGTTTGATATGAAACCAAGTTGTTAAAAAGATGGCAGGGGTAAATCATTATTTTTGTTCAAGCCCCTTATATGATTTCCTGTAGGATCATCCTGGCTTATTAGATGTTTATTTTGTGGGAACTTGCACGGCAGAAATGAACTTATTACTTTGTGTGGCTTGCAAGGTGGAGGTCCTCTAATAAAAATGTGAGAATGGGGATTTATCAAAGAGTGATTATGGAAGAATTATTTGCACTATCAAAAAATCTAGTACTTTATAAAGGATTTCAATAATAGATTTCCTTAAACAATAAGCTGTCCCGATCCTTCACCTCAGGGCATTTGAAATATTAAGCAAATGAAATGTATTTAGCCTACAACACAGTATAGGCTTAATGATTAGGAATGGAGAGTTACTGGGGCGCCTGGGTGGCTCAGTCGTTAAGCGTCTGCCTTTGGCTCGGGTCGTGATCCCGGGGTCCTGGGATCGAGCCCCGCATCCGGGCTCCCTGCTCCGCGGGAAGCCTGTTTCTCCCTCTCTCACTTCCTCTGCTTGTGTTCCCTCTCTCACTGCGTCTCTCTCTGTCAAATAAATAAATAAAATCTTTAAAAAAAAAAAAGAGAAAAAAAAAAGGAATGGAGAGTTAAAGTAACTGCATTCCCCACAAATTTGCTTAAATTGACATTTTAATTATATACATTTTCTAAATGAAGTAGTGTGTTTTGGCATGTTGTTATCAGAATTGCTGATCAGGCTGGTACAAATCCGCAAACAATTTCAGAGTACAGAACTGAAATAGAAATTTTGTTTTTTTAGTTGTTTTATTTTCCCATGTTTGTGTTCCAAATAGAACACAAGCACTGCTGAAATACATGATGTTGGAAGTGTCTGATCAGTAGTGAGAGGCCGCCTATCTGTACCCAGTTCCCGACATCTGTTCCAATTTGTAATTGGCTGTCACAGCCGAGGCTTTATGCAAAATGACCGATCATAACAAAAATTACTTTTAAATTGCTCATATAACCATATGCCTTGGATCATGGCACTATCTTTGGCTTCTGCGTATGTTGTTTTTCTAGTATTTCAGGCCTTTTTTTTTTTTAAACCACGGCAAAATTGAATTAATGTGCATCGAGGTAGGAAATAAAAAACTGGGTCTAAGAGACTCTGCCACAGTGAGAGTAATTTAAGAAAAATAGAGATTTAGCTTTGTTTTCTAGAAGTAAATTCAAGATAGCATATAATTTGCACAGCCAAGTTAAAAATAAATGCAAGGACCTTGTTTCAAAAAGCAGGAGAAGATTGTCTATTAAAGATACTAAAATATTTCCTTTCTCCCACAGTTTCTCAACTTGTGATGGTGTTATTTTGTTATTTAATGTGATTAAGTAAATTAAAATTTTAAATTATTAACATGAATTTTGCCATTTATCTTTACATTGTGCAATGTTAGTTTTAAATGCAAATACGGGCCTTCAACTCCTAAGCAGAAGCACAGATCACACGATTCGTACTTTGTCGGTGAGACATGCACGTGTATTTCATTCTTGATAGAAGAGTGGAAATGCACAAAACTAACTCCTCTTTTTCCTTCACTTCTTGACACATGGACATTCTATAACTCAGCCTCTGGCTTCCTTACGAGTGAGGAAGAAGGGAGAAGCATGGGAACTGGGGGTTGCTCCAAGCTTCCCCTTTCGTTCTAGGTGGTCCTTTTCAGCATAAGTGGTTGGCAAATATGGAGAACTAACATGAGTAAGAGAGGATACTATAGGATTGCTTGGTCGTTTGTGTTGCAATCTGCATGGGAGCAAGTTTTGGTTTGCTTGAACAGTGTGTCCTCACAGATCCGCACCAGGCCCTCTTCCTCAGCCAAAGTTGCAGTCTGTTTGCCTTGTTTGACCTTAGAGTCTTGCTAAACGCCCTTGTGTCCTGGGTCCCTCCGAACTCTATGCTGAGAGGGCATCTCAACCACTGTATGGGAGTGGAAGAAACTGCAGGCCTGCCTATTGTTCCTGTCTCCTCTGCTCACACACAGGCTTTATCAGCCCTTCATACTGCCCTTAGGAAACCCAGATGCAAAGAGAAAACTATTAAGAATTTCAAGATGGTGACAGCAGGGCATTAATCCAACCATGAGACCCTTCTGAGCATGGGGCCCTGTGTGACGGGGCGTGTTGCCTGCCCATTGAAGCTCACCCTACCTTGGTGACCCCCTCTACAAACTGTGGTGATAATAGTATGTATCAAGTAGGGTTGCCGTGAGCAGTAATGAAGCCACACATGTAGAGTGCTTAATAAGTACCCTACACATAGAAACTCCTGAATATGTGATACTTTCTAAATACTTACATTGTTTTATATCCCAAATAAAATCAGGAAATGTATTATATTCCTACTAGGGACCTTAGATTTAGGTTAAGCATTCCTTGTATAAGCTCCACTAAGCAAGCTATGCCTTCAAACGCAAGACTCGGAAACATAATGAATGTTCCCTTATCTGTGTTGTGGTCATGAGGCAATCGTCAGTAAGCAGGCAAAGCTCTAAGGTCGGTTTGAGAGGTTACCTGGTTTCCTTTGTGTAGTGTAATTACTGTAGCAGGTTATAGCAAATAAGGCTGTGTGGGGTGTCCAGAAAAAGACAAATGCTCAAGTCATTAAAAGTGGCTGAATTGCCAGGTTGTCTCTAGCTGAGAATGAGGTCAGTTCTGTAAAGCCTTGGGTAGAGAAGGCCTCTGTTCCAAACTCATAGAGGGGAGACATTTAAACCCAGAATGAAAACAAAACAAAGATGTGAGTTCTGTCTGAGTGAGCAGGGGTGAACTCTTGTTGACTGCAGCATCCAAATGAAATCGGGTGTAGAATGAATTTCATGATCCAAAGTTACTGAAGAACTATTGTAGATGATAGTCATCAATCAGTTCAGCAGAAGTGCTTATGAAATGCTATTTAGTATGCCCAATGTATATTTGGCTTATTTATGTATATTTAAATTAATATACATAACTCAAGCCTGCTCTGGTGCTTTCCAGATTTTAAGGGCATCAACCATCTTGGAAACATCAGTTCAAAAAAAGAGGATTTGATAAATTATTAGCTCCTGATTTAGTGCATACTGATTGTTTAAACATCATTTTATTTTAAACCTAAATTTTTTTTTAAAGATTTTACTTATTTATTTTTACAGAGACAGAGCACATAAGCAGGAGGGGCAGGGAGAGGGAGAGAGAATCTCAAGCCAACTCCATCCTCAGCGCAGAGCTGCAGGGCTCGATCTCATGACCCTGAGATCACGACTTGAGCCAAAACCAGGAGTTGGATGCTTAACCAATGGCACCACTGAGGCACCCCTAAAGCCTAAATATTCTTTTTAAGATTTTATTTATTTATTTGAGAGAGAGTGAGCAAAAGAGCGAACACGGGGGCTGGAGAGGCAGAGGGAGAGAGAGAAGCAGACTCCCTGCTGAGCAGGGAGCCTGACGTGGGGCTCGACCCCAGGACCCTGAGATCATGACCTGAACCAAAGGCAGATGCTTAACCGACTGAGCCACCCAGGTATCCCAAAGCCTAAATATTTTTAAGAGATTCTCTTTAAATTTATTTTCCATTGGCATATTAGATGAAAAGTATACCAACCTGAAACTGTGACTTTGTTTAAACATTGCTCACAAAAATGATTGGTTGAATATAATAACAGGCTGAGAAATTATGCAAATAGGATAAAAACAAAGAGAACATTATGAATATTCATACTACTATGGAAGTGAGCAGTTTCAGGTCCTACAGCAGGTGAGATCTGTTGTGTCTCACGTGTCTTATGCAAGTATGATTTTCCTTCTCTGATTCTGAAGCATCAGGCTGACTCCTGTGAAGAGTAGGATAACAAAATGGATATGATTGAATTTTAAAAAATCTCTTCGCAGAGGGAAAGATTGATGAAAATGTGGCACAAAATCTGTGTCTAGCAAGGTTCAAGATTTCTCTTCCTGCCTCCTGTCCATTTGGTTTTGAAAATCTGGATTTAATTTTCATTTTAAAAACTTAATAGACTGAACTGTCTCAGGAAGTATTAGCTTTCCACATTCCTGGGTCCTCTCATCCACTGGTGCTGTGGTTACCGTGACTAAGGCCTGGGTAACACTGAGTCAGGACATGGGTTTGTTGTCGCGAATGTTGCTCCCTCTTAGAGAATTTTACTGATAAATAATGTTATCGTTTCCAGATGCAGAGCCTAAATATCTGATTGTTGTGCGGCCTGCTCCTCCTCCAAGTCGAAAGAAGTCATGCTCAGGTATATTTTGTTCATTTTTCAGATTTTATTAACTTTAAACCATGCCTCTTCATTTCTGCCCATGGAGACCAAGTGCCTTGGGGATGCCTTAGGAATGTGGATGAGAATACGTAACACAGCAGGCCCCATGTCGGCAGATAACCCTGCTTGCAAGTATTACAGTCTGGTTGTAGAGACTGCTTGGGATCTAATCCCAGCACCACTACCTACAAACCTGAGGAATTTAGGCAAATTACTGAACTTCTCGGTGCCTCCTTTCTCCTGCATACCAGGGTCGTCGTGAAGGTTAAATGAGTTCATGCGTGTGTGGCCTTGTAGGCCAGGGCCTGGCCCATAGCAAGTGCTTGCTTAGACTTAGCTCCTGTTAGCCTGAACCTACTTTGCAGTGTGTCAACTCAGGCCCGCTCTGGTGCTTTCGAGATTCTAAGAGCAAAATCTAATGTCTAACCTTTGTTGAAGGAGACTGTTCACATTCAAAAGCATCACTCCTTTATATGCATGGTCAATGGGTTGGAAGGTGGGTTCTACTTTACTCGTCCTCTCTCCCTTCGGACCCTCTTCTATTTAGTCCGACATGAGAGCAAGGACTGCTTTCCTAGAACAGTGGCACAACGCCAAGACTCCCAGGGAGAGGGAGACTGGAAACAGGAAAGTAAATAACCTATGAATAAATGAGTAGAAACATGTTCTATGTGATTAAAGAAAGCTTAAAATCTTACATTGTCCCAATTTCACTACTAAAATTCCTTCTCAGATCAAATAGGCAGGCCTTTGCTGTCAGAACCTAAAAAAGCTGGGAATATGCCTTTACCATCCGGTATCACATCTCCCTGACTGTAGATTACTGATAAAAATGTTTTGCTTTTCTTTTTCATTTACTAATGCAAACTGTTCTTAATATTTCCTAATCATGTTCATCTTGTATAGTACACTAGCTGTCAAGCAAAAAGGATGTCTTTTGTTTGTTCTATGTTTCTAGCAGCATGAAATGGGTTGGGGGAGCATACAGGTCTTCAAATACCCTGAGCAAACAGGCCCTTTGCAGTTGTGTATTTTGTATCTTCTGGATGCATCAGCCAAGCCTGCTACCAGAAATTTGTTGCCACAGTGCCCTCCCCTCCTTCTGTTGGTTTTCACTTCTTTTTAGAACAGCAGTAAACAGTCAAGCATTTTGAAAAATACAAATTCCTTTTCCTGGCCTCCTACATTCTCCCAAAGCATGAGGGAAATTCCAGTGACTCCTTAGAATTTATAATGATAGTCATCATTTCAAGGCTCTATTTCAAAATATTTAATAAAGTCAAGAGGTATTAGTATGGATCCATGGGATTCTGGCTTCATGTTCAAACTATTTCTCAATATAAACACACAAAAAATGTGTAAGGGGCGTCAAAAGAGTGCTCACACCTTGGTTACACTTTATAACTTCATTTGGGAACTTCTATGACACTGGTCTTGAAATCATTTTTACCTTTGTGATGACCAGCTCAGGAAATTGTTTCATCTTGCTCAGGATATAATACCCCACCTTTCCTCTCAGGCAACAAATGTAATGTTTTTGTAATCTGCATTTGAGAATGATACAATGAGTGAGGCATTAACTTGGATTCATTTTATATTTGCATCTGCCACATAAATTTTAATCATTTTTATATTAAGATCCAAACTTAGTGAAATAATTATTTTATGGTCATGTAGACCTTAGGTTCCCTTGGAGAAAGGAAAATGTATCTTTTTGTCTCTAAAGGGCATAATCTTCATACAGTGTGAGCTATGCCAATGATGTAGTAAAGAAAAAAGAAAAGAAACCTAGATAACAATTCAGAAGATGGAAATTTGAGTCTTGACCTTGCTCTTGGTGTGACCTTGGATACCCTTGAAACTTCTCTGGGCCTTATTTTTCATTTGTAGAATGAGATAGTTGTATTACATTAGTGAAAACCAACTCAGGGGTGGAAAAAGGGATATCAGAATCCCTTCAGGCCTTTTTCAAACTACATAAACCCCTTACCCTCACCAGGTTCTAATCTACTCCCTTTGGGAGTCAGACTTGGGTTCTTGGAATCACAAGAGGTGGAAAATTTTATGGAGAAGGATAAAAGCGTGTTTGCAAACAAATAAACAGCTATCCTTGACAATTGTTTCAAATATCTTTTTTTTATTATGTTAATCACCATCCATTACATCATTAGTTTTTGATGTAGTGTTCCATGAGTCATTGTTTGCATATAACTTTTTTTTTTTAAAGATTTTTTATTTATTTATTTGACAGAGAGAGAGATAGCTAGAGCAGGAACACAAGCAGGGGGAGTGGAGAGGGAGAAGCAGGCTTCCTGCCGAGCAGGGAGCCCGATGTGGGACTCGATCCCAGGACCCCGGGATCATGACCTGAACCGAAGGCAGATGCTTAATGACTGAGCCACCCAGGCGCCCTGCATATAACTTTTTAAAAATTCAGCTATGTCACCATGAAACAGTTGGCCACCACTAGGCTTACATATAGGCTGAGAAGGTTTTTCACCAGAATAACAACTCACAGAACTTAAATCTACCAGAAGCAGCAAGGATGGCACAATTTTAAAGGGCATGTGGTTCAGATAACTTTCACTAAGCTCATACAAGAGGTACCTTCCTACCTATTAGTTCCTACTGCATTAGATCAAAATAACACAAGTTCTTCCTATAGCAAATACAATAGGCATGGTCTCATGAAATGAAAGAGGAAACACAATGGAAATAAAAAGAATGCTTTATGTTCTGCATAGTTTTATTAGATATCTTATTGCATTTTTATGTTATCTACAGATTTTTTTAATGAGCCAATGTTGGGTTCCATGGCAAAGGATCTTCATTGCTCTTTTTCACTGACCCTATTCCTGAAGTTCCAAATATTTTTGAAAATGCAAATACCTTTCTCCCATATACTGGAAAAGAATCTAAAATGGTTTATCACCACCACTTGGCATTGCCCAAATCCAATTCTTCCCATCAGAACAACTGCGCTTCCTGTGTCATCCCTACTCTTCCAGCAGTATTAAGAATGAGTAAAAAAGAATGTGTATACATTTTCCATTTAGACATCACTGTAAAAAAAAGGCTTATTGTAATTGTATGACAGGGATTTTACACTTCTAAACTGGTTTTAAAAAGGAATATAACTTACAAGCCAGACATTAAGCTTTGTTTTCTTTGTTTTCACACTAATTCATAGTCTTGGGAGAAGGGGGAAAACCAACACACTTTTATTGTATCTGTAAAAGAAATGAAGTGAGCAAAGCATTTGCATTATTTATTTCACTGGTAATAGCCACGACTTTCATATTCATCCCTAACCCATAAGAAAATAATACCTAAGTATGATTGCATATAGTTTATATGCATACATTACCCATATATGCATTCATATATATACGCATATACATACACACATAAATCTCAAAATGATACTTTGTTTGGTTTATGCTTGAATTCATGGGCAAAAAATTGGTAATATTTGTGCACTCCATGAGAAGAAAAGGAACTTGATGCTTTCATGCTCTTTATCATCATCCTAGGTCATTTTTATGCATTCTACCCCAATCATAAAAATATACTGTGTTACCAGAATTAACCTGCACGTTACCTCCATAGGTAAAGCACGCTCTCGCAAACCTCTCCAGCTGGTGGTTGGCACTCTGACACCAAGCTCCGTATTCCTATCCTGGGGTTTCCTCATTAACCCACACCATGACTGGACATTACCAAGTCACTGTCCCAATGACAGGTAATTCATCCTAACAAAGGATTTTTTTTTTTTTTTTACCTGAAAATTCGCTCTTGCTTTTAGTAGTATCTGTACATGCTTTGGAAGAATATATAAATATCAGGGGCACCAGCTCATATGGGTCACCCATTAGCTATACACCTTGTTCTGGGTGTGAGAGGAAGGAAGATACTAAGTGAGGGTCCCCACCCTTGAGAGAGTTATCATCTACCTGAATAGAAAACACATGCAAGCATTTTTTTTCCCCAAAGAATAAAGTACAAGGGAGAATGAGCCAAATAGCAAGTGGGGAGTATCAGTGAGAAGAGTAATAAAAGCTCAGAGGATGAGGCACAAGACAATTAGGAAAGATGATTAAAAGTTGGAAATGCTGACCTTTGGTTTGACAGTTGAAGAAGTGTTAGAAGCAGTAGTTCTCAAAGGGTGGCCCCAAACTAAGCAGCATCAAAATCAGTTGGGTTCATTTCTCAAGGCCCCCTCCAGATCTACTGAATAAGAAGCTCTGAAGGTGGGGCCCAGTAATCTGTGGTTTTACAAGCCCTCTGGAAGATTCTGATGCCGACTTACATTTGAGAATCACTGGTTTAGAGAACTGGAGAGTAACTCACAGGGCGAGATGTAGACCGAGGAAAAGCACAGGTTTGGAGATGGAGCTCCTATCTTCCTTAGCAGGACAAAATAAGAAAATCTAAGTATATTTTTAAATGAAGGCCATTCATCCACTCAGCACATATATTCGGCATGGTCTATATGCTGGGCAGTGTACAACATGCTGAAGCTGGGAAATAAAATGATTATTTATCATAAATATTTACTACATTATCTTTAAAATTCAGAACTTTGCATCTGATGAGCATTCCAAACTTTCAAGCTTCAACCAAGGCATTTCATTAATTTTTTTTAATTTTAAAAAGACTCAAAGTGATTTTTAAATTGTAAAAGTTTGATTTCTTTTCTAAATAAAAAATATGTTGTTGAGGTATAATTTAAATCCAGTACAATGCACAGCTTGATCAGTATCCTATGCTCCATCGGGAAATAGAACACTGTCATCCCTCCAGACAGAACTTTCCTCAAGAAGCAACCACTGATGTGATTTCTATCCCTGTAGATTAGGTTGCCTAATCTATAATTACACATAAATGGAATCATACACTATGTTGGTTTTTTGTGTCCATTTGTTTGCATTCAGCATGTTTTTGGGTTTCATTGATAACATTGCAGGTATTAATAGTTCATTCTTTTTTTTTTTATTCTTGAGTAGTATTCCATTATGTGAATATTCCAGCATTTATTAACTACTCTCTTGTTGGTGGATACCTAATTATGTTTGTTTTGGATTATTATGAATTTAGACTTTATAAATGTTTTTGTAGGAGCTTTGTAGACATATCTTTTAATTTTTCTTAAATAAATACCTAGGAGTGGAATTGCTCGGTCATGGGGAAAATGTATATTTAATTTTTTTTTCTGCCTGACTTTTCCATTTATACTCCCACAGGCAATATGAGAGTTCAGATTGTTCCACATCCTCACCAGCATTTCATGCTGTGAACATTTTGCATTTTCTCTATTCTAGCGTAGCAGCATCTTGTTAGAGTTTTAATATGCACTTCTCTTGTACTAACAATACTGAGCACTTTTTCATACATTTTTTGGCTTGATCTCTCTTGTGTGGTGTTTTATTTTTATTTGTCTAAATTGAATTAGAAAGAAGCACCTTTAAAAATGTTTGTAAGTTCTCAAGAGTACCTTTCATATGACTTTGATTAGGAAATCTAGACTAAGAACAATAATAGATTTTCCTTCACATGTTCATAGTTCTGAAGGAAGAAATTATTGGAAAAAGCCATGTAGAAGATATTGCCAAAACCAATTTTTTTTTTAAATAAGCTTGAGAAGTTTCAAAGAGTCTGAAATGTTCCTTTATCATCCACCACTAAGTCCGTAACTTACTTTGTTTGGAAAATGGACTCTTAAAAGAACATGTTTTCTTGTGATAATTCCAGCTTTACAGGGTTGGTCCAGAATGCCAGTGCTGAGAAAAATAACATTTATGGATTGCTTTCTTATTCCTTTTCATTTTCTTTAGTCTCTAATTTAAAAAGGCCAAAGGGGGGTGGGAAAGAAGAAAGGAAATTTGGTGCTCTTGCAGCAAAATGCAGCTGATTTTAATAGTTATTTACCTTGCTTGATAAATTCATGAAGTTTGGTGACGTGCAAATTCATAGAAAAAGCTTTGGATATGATTTCTTCCCCTGTCCTCAAACTTTTCCTTCAATTTCACTTGGTCCTACCCCTTCTTGAAAGCATTTATCTGATGCTAATTTTAATTGATGGATGTTGCCATAGTTTTATAGCATAAGGAGAGGAGCAGATGATCTGGTAAAGCTAGGATATTAACAAGGCAATTGATTAGAAGACCCAAGCTACTCAAACCATGCATGTACCTTTCCCTCACCCCGTTGCTCACACACTCTGGCTTTGCTCTTCTCATCAAATAGATGGAGTCATGCCCATCAAATCACACTAGTCAAAATCAATAATTCTACTTAGAATAAAGTTTTTTAAAAGATTCAATAATAGCATATCGAGATGCTTGGAAACTTTCAATTCTGAATGAGTGGGACAAGCAAGGTACCCTTGACAGAAATAGGGGACTCTTAAGACATAAGTAAAAGGGAAGAATTCAATGGTGATGCCTGAAAAAAAGCACTTTGAGTACTTGTGGATTTCATTTACACATGCCTCCTTTCTTCCCAGTTAATAAAGAGTTGACATTTAAAGTCTTGGTGGAATCTGAGAAAAAATAGTAGTCCTTGTTTAAAAGCTCTGGAACTACTGTGCATGTTATAAACACCCAAATAAATCCACCAGGATTCTAAATCAATGTAATTAGAAGCAGACTTGCAGAAACCTACCCCTACATGATGGTGGGTTTTTTTGTTTGTTTGTTTGTTTTGTTTTGTTTTAGAATTTCAACTAAGCCAGTAGGTTAGAATAAGGAGTAGTAGCTATAGGGAATGATCACTTCTTGAAAACTGGAAGATTAATATGCTGAATTTTTCCTTCAGGAGTACCTTTTTAAAAAATCATTGGAATCTGAATGCCCTTGGCTTGCTACAGGAACACTTACTGGTGTCATTGTAATCCATCAGATTCTATATTGGCACCCTGCGTAAAGTCTCTGATTTAAAAAAAAAAAAAAAAATCAGTTCTCATTGATTCATACAGCCCCATTTATCCTATGAAAAGCAAATAATTTATTGGGAATTTTTTCTCTTTATACTTTGATTTTGGACTTTCTGTATCCAAGTCCTGTGTAGTAAGTTTCCAGGGAGAAAACCGCTATGCTTTCTTTTGTTTTAAGTTTGGAGTATTAATGGAGTATCACTTTATCCTTCATGACACGTGGCTCTATTCCTGTTTGCACAGGGTCCATATGGGTATCCATGTTCTTAAATCCTTTTCTGAATCCGCATTGGAAAGTAGATGTGCTTAATTTATAGTTTTTATTCTTAATAGGCTTTGAATGGAAGAATGTACACATTTGTGCTCAATATATCTAAGGTCCAAAGAAAGCTTTCCAAATTGGCTCAGATGAAGAGTAAAACATGTTTTTAACCAAAATGTATTTCCTCATTAATAGCTTACTTTTTCCTTCCCATGTTTCCAGCTTGTTAAAGTGTTCAAGATTGCTTCAGTTCTCACTCCTTTGCCAACTTATTAAAGCTTTATGATTGTTTAGAAATCATTTTCACATTTTCTAACACTTTCATTTGTACTTATTTACAGTTAATGTAGAACGAGGCCTTTTCGGCCAGTCCAGAGCAGGCCCTTGCCTTTCTATTTGTTCCCCGCTTGTTTTTAAGAAGTGAATATTTTTGATGTCTGTGCATTTTCACTTGATTGAACTCATTGCCTTGTTACCCATTCGTCTTTCCATGTAAACTTTAAGCTCTGTGAGGACAGGGACCATGTGTATCTTAACCGGCTTTATCTTCCCAGTCCCTGGGTCAGCATCTGGCACATAGTAGGCCTTCAGTAAATATTTATACTCAGTGAATAAAGAGTAAAATGCCAGCGTTTTCACATTGATGTCTCGCCATTACTTCAAACTTAAGGTGACAAAATCAAACACCTACTATTTCTTCTTGATAATCAGCTCCATTTCTTAGTACTTTCCAAAGTACCTTAATTCTTCTGTTCGTTCCTACTTGAAACTTGACTCATTTATTCATTTTTTATTTGTCCTCTCCTCTAGCTGATGAGCCCCCAGGTTCTCTGAGTTCTGCCTTGGGCAAGTACATCAACGTCTTCTATCTCTCCATGTCCATGCCAATGATTCTCATTCAGACACTTGTCGCCTTACTGTGGTTCCTGGGGATCACATCCAGGCTACTTTCCCTGGCTCCTTTCCTACCGCAATCCATCCTGGCCTCTGCAATGCCAAGGAAATTTAGATTATCCACCATCAGCTCACTCTTTCTTCACCTCAGATTTCTCTTTCTTCTCTTCTTTCCAAGGAACCCATTTCTGACTTCAGACAGTGCTCACCATCCCGTCCTGTCCACGCTCTGTAAGCTTGCACTCTCACACTGGAGCCCTCACTACCCTTGGGGCCCTGCCTCCTGCTTGCCAATATGTTTGTGACTTCCCCATCCCAGAACATCTTCTTTCAATCCTGTTCTCTCTTCCAAGGGATTTTTCAATCTCTTAATTCCAGAACTTCTCAGAGTGGTCTGCTCTTTTATTCCCAGTTTCCATACCCGACCCCGACCCCAGTCTTTATTCCTTTTCAGTGGCTTCCCTTCCCTTTCTAACACTCCACTGAAATATCTCTTTGTGGTCAGCAATGATCAATTAATTGCTAAATCCAGAAGAGTTTTCTCCGTTCTTACCCTTTCTAACCTCTCTGTGGAATTGGTGGCCATCTTCCTTTTTTGACATTATACATATATTTAAGCAGGCTCCACGCCCAGTGTGGAGCCCAGTGCAGG